TTGCTGCGGTATTTTGACATACAGTTAAAAAGTATTTCAAAGACTCTGGTGACTGCTGTATACAAGCTTATCACAGTTATTATAGTTGTAGTATATTTGGTGACAGATCGTAAATACTTATGTCAAATAAACTGTTGTGCAGTTCAAGGATTATTTTTAAAAAGCTTCACTCCCTATTTGAAAACTATCAAAAAGTATTAGGTTCGTTAAAGCGTTAGATTTGGTTACACCGATATTAGATTCGTATTGAATTCGCTTATGAAATTCACTACTCGCAAACCCCTTGCAGCGCGCTTTTTGTAGTATGACAGTGCTCGTGCTGTCAACGCTCTGCAGGCATGACGCGGTGAAGTGAGCGAAAAAAAAAAAGAACGCCGGTTCGAGGGGGGCTCTTTATATGTACAACATACAGTGGATTTCGAAGCATATTTGGCCTAGAAGGAATACGCTGGCACCCGCGTCCTTCTCTTCTAATGACAGCGCGGCCTCTCGCTCCTTATGTGAACGGAATCGCTTCGCGTGTTTATAGAGTAACAGTACGTAGGAACCTATTCATTTGCAAATCTATCGAGGTGCTGATAAGGTAATCTTGCTTCTCATTTCGCATCGCTGTCATAATCGGTAGTGGTGGCATTCACTACGAGTTGCCTAAGATATGACAGAGTGAGTGCAAGCTGAGCCTATATTGTGTGGCCGACCGAGTGACGTGCCCGACGTAGGCACTTGGTGCTCCGACAACGGCACTTCGAGCTGCAACAAAGGCTTACCGAGTTGCAATTTTTGTTATATAGTCCGCACATGAACTCTTTACAATGTCAGCTTCCATTTTTACTGCATATCTGCGCCGACTTAGGTGCTTTCAGCGATCGTTTCAAATGGAGCTACGAATCTTTCGGCAGCGTCGACACAGGCGTGCACTACTTGATAGTGCCGTCTTCCCATTCATAGTAGGCGGTTTGCCAGTACGCGTGCGAGCATCAACTTTGTGCCGTTGTCAGATAGGAAGGAGACGCGGCGCGAAAGCACTTTGTCCCAAAGTCACACTTAACTCATCAACCCATCATCATCCTACGTCTGTCCCGGCACTGCCTCCCCCCAGGGTCGTGTGGGGGGGTCGTTTTGTTTCGGGCAGACGGCCATGCCTTGGCAAAGGGGCCATTGTTCGGCACCAGGCGCCAAACAGACGCGGCCTGCCTCCTGGCGTACAAGCCAGGGAGACCCGACAAAGGGACTACTCTTCGGCGAAGCAACTTCAGTTGCGTCGCACAAAGTAAACGTACCCTGGCAAGGTGGGCTATCGCAGCGCTTGGGGTGCACTGCGGTCATGGCCCGTCTCCTGACCGCTAGGGCCCAGCGAGACTCGACACAGGGACTACCCTTCGGCACGGTGGCTCTCGACACCGCACGCAAAGTGGACGTACCCAAACATGTGGCAGCAGGACTGCCCTTGGTCGCGGTAACTTCAGTCACCACAACCAAAGTGCCCGTGCCCTCACACTGTCACGCGGCTGAGAGCCTGCGACGACGTCCGTCCCCTCAGGATGATTGGGCTATCGCTCGGCGCGAGGCGCTTTCCGTTCACGGCCAGTCTCCTCACCACTAAAGCGCAGTGAGACACAATCCGTCCCATGGGGTCTACGGGACTTCTCGCCTTTGCCGCGGCGTCTGCATCAGCTGTGCCTGCGCCCGACATGCAAACCCTGCAGCATCATCAAGGGCGCAGCCTTGTTTGCTGACAAAATTACGCACGAACCAATGAGCGTGCAGCTTCCGAAAGCCTCGCGAGGCCGCCTGGCGCAGTGCATTGTTGGGGGGAGGGGGTCTATCCGCTCGCCTTTGTAAACTCGCGTTGGTCCGTTTTCAACAACTGCATGAGACGCCAAAAAGTGGACAATCGTGTCTACTGAAGACCGGGCACGTGTTTCCGCAACGCGTTGGTTTCCGTATCATATCCCAAAAAATGTATGGGGAAAATGCGGCGCCGGTATTGGCTGAAGGTGGTCACGTGAGATAAACAAACTTCTGCTTTTTGGTCAGCTGCCAACTCATAATAAGTTCACAGACTACGTGACGCCAAACAGACACAAAGAAAGTGTTCCACACTCAATGTCATGGTTACTGACCACGCTCCCACGTTTAATTTACATATTAGTGATAGGTGAGCGCTACATATGATGAGCGCTCGTGCTGTGTGCCTCTTCTTTGTGTCCATGTTTACCTCCGCGCTCCCAGTTCGCTGAACCATCAGGAGATGCATTAATAAACCGTGCTGTGTTTTCGAAACCGTGTCCGCCCGCCTGCCCGCCCGCCTGCCCGTCCATCCGCCCATACATCCGTCCATCCATTGTCCATCCATCCATCCATACCCGCAGGTTGCGGGATCAAATCTCGGCTGCGGCGGCTGCATTTCCGATGGAGGCGAAAATGTTGTAGGCCCGTGTGCTCAGATTTGGGTGCACGTTAAAGAACCCCAGGTGGTCGAAATTTCCGGAGCCCTCCACTACGGCGTCTCTCATAATCATATGGTGGTTTTGGGACGTTAAACCCCACAAATCAATCAATCCATCCATCTATCCATCCATCCATCCGCTGTGTGATGGCTTCCAAAACTGAGCGAACCTGTCAGAGTGCGATCTCTCAGGTCTAGACTAGTAAAAGCTCTAATCGTCGAGCGTGCTCATTATAGCTCTGCGATCGGCAGTGATGCCTTACGAGTTGAGGAGGCCTGGCAGAGGTGAGAAAGAGGGTATGATAAGTTGTCCGTAGCGGCCTTTGTACACGGCATGTCGCTAAATTTGTGGTACGTTGATGATGCTCTAGCCTAAAAGCTGACGAAACTTCAAAACAGTTTCAGGGTCTCTTTGAGGTCTGCATACGAACACTACGCTGACGTCATTACAGGTACGACAACTTTCTGTACATGTTCGTACGGCCATCCTAAACTATTACAGAGGACTTAGGCAAGTTTATTCCTTACCACAATTCAGATTAAATAAAGAGAAATTGATGAAGCTGGAGGCAAATTCGAAACAGCACATTTCCAGAGTTGCACACCCCGAGTAAAATGCATCTCTCGGCATACTCTCCCCTCTGCTCATAGCGCTCAGCTAAAGCCCCTATGTACCACGTCCCATGGAAATGCCAGGCTATTACAGCCTTAACACTAATACAAAATCCAACAGTAGAGCGATGAAAGGAGCTGTTGGCCAGTGAAAAGCTGCGCAAGCAGCCAAGTCTGATGGATCAGGCCTGCAGAGCAACGGCTGCAAGCACAGCCCTAAACTAAGGGTCCCCCCCCCCCCACACACACACCACAAGCCAAGAACCTATGACTACTCCGAGCTTCTCCACAGAAAATGTCCTGTGAATAAATAAAGAAGTTTTTTACCACCGCCTACACAAGGAACTGTTCTGCTAGTTGACACTGGGACAGTGATGCTACGGTATTGAAACAAAACTTTTCCACAGTTTTAATTTTGGCATTTTGTAAAAAGAATATCACGAAGTTATTTTAACACTATTAACACTACGTTAATATTTTTAACACTATTTTAACACGGTAAAAAATATCACAAACTCAAAAATCTATTTTACTACTATTCGCGACACTGATGCCATTTCCCACACGTGATTCTTGCGCAGCTAGTATTTGACATGTCCTGCCAGAGTTTTGCACTTGTCATTATTGACACCTGGCCATACCTACCTAAAATGTTCACAGTACACAAACTGGATTAACTGCTCAATGAGAACTTTGTTAAAGGAGCAATGAAGCTAAATTTTAAAAGCACAATGAGCGAGATCGATTTATGTGGAGTCGTACACAACCTCTACAAGATATCAAGCGCAAATATAACCTAGAACATATTGAAAACCAATTTTAAAGTGCATGACAGAGCGAAATGCGGAGCCCATCGCAATGTCGACATCAACACCAGGTCAACGTAAACAGAACTACGTCTCGAGTGTGATGGCTGCGATTTCCTTCTCTGTACCTGGGCTTTATATGTGCTGGCTGTAAGTGCAGTGCCCGCTCAAGCGGCCAGTGCCGTAACAGTTTTGCGTGGTCAAGTGCATCTAGTACCTTGCCTTTGGAACTGATCCTGACTAGCACGGTGCTCTGAAACTGAAACTGAATATGGGTGCTCGAAAAACGTCTCTTGATAAATAACCACCAGTTTTGTGGTAGACATTTTGAAGGAAGTTTACTAGTAATTTATGTGTAGCATCACACACTTGAAGTGGGTCATAAACTACTTATTGCAAAAAAAAAAAAAGCAAAATTGTCGTCATAGCTCCTTTAATGCTTTTTGATGAACTAGTTGGGTTTTGATGCATTCTGTTGCAAAGCGTTCACCACCGAAGTCTTTCAGGCTTCTTGTACACTGAGACACGAGACCCCCCCCCCCCCCCCCCCATTCGCTTCAGACAACAGGTTTTTCCTCTACACTTGCAGTCTTGATTGATATATGGGGTTTAACGTCCCAAAACTACCATACGATTATGAGAGACGCCGTAGTGGAGGGCTCCGGAAATTTCGACCACCTGGGGTTCTTTAACGTGCACCCAAATCTGAGCACACGGACCTACCACATTTCCGCCTCCATCTACGCTTGCAGTCTTCCTAATGAATGAATTCGGCACTTCTACCTGCACGTGTGGCACAGACACAGCACTGTCAGCAAAAGGCCAGTCTTAACCTTTCCAGTATGTGAGGAATACGTAATGATGGAATGTGTGCATGGGCAATTCACCAGAATGCGGAGATGCATCTTTCGGGGTACTTGTTTTGCGAAGAGGAGTCATCAGGTGTGGGTTGCTGCTATGGTTGTTGAAAGTAATCAAAAAAGGAAAACTCCCACCCTCTCTCTTCTCTCGCGGAGGTTATGAGAAGGAGGTTAAGTGGAAACCCACTTGGAGGAGGTGATTATGTGTGCCGGAGCAACGTTTTTTTCAAATGGTCACTCCTACAGAGATTGGATTCAAATGAGGAGTTTCTCTAACAGGGATATGAACTTTTTATAGCCCTCTTTCAACACGAATCTGCTACGACACGATTCTGCTCTCTTGCAAAATGTAAATAAACTTCTGTAAATAAGTTTCTTCTTCACGAGTCGCTCACTGCCTCAGCTCTCTGCTCCCGACGTCCATACCTTCGCTCACCACCCTTGGTCGGCTCCTGCAGCATACCAGTCATAATACTGAATTGAAAAGAGTGCGAGGTGAATGGGTTAGAGACAGACCACGTACACAGGGGCATTTTCAAGCAGTGCATCATTATGCAACATGTGTAAAAACGAAAAGAAATGTTTGGCAAGTGGTTGTCAAAAATTTCTTTTCATTTCTGCATATTTTTTTATATTTCATGCACTGCTGAAAAAACAGCCTTCGTGGGCCGCCGTTGACGATTTTGAACATCAGCGACACTTAAACAATGATAGCTCGCAACTCTTACCAACATTCGCGGCCTGATCTTTGCTCAAAGTTGAATCTGTTTTCGTTTTATCCTTGAGGTTGCCACAGCAAGCCGCTCTACAATGAAAAACCCGGTAACATACAATGTATTGGCATCAACATGGAATACAGTTCATAGAATGTACAAGTGCGAACGCAATGCCTCAGCGTGAACAACAAGTCCATCATCGTCAACATACATCTGTGTGAACACGGAATGAAGCAGTGTCAACATCACAAGGTAGCTGTGTGGGCTTATTGGTTTGACGTGATGCAGGGTGAAAGCACATAAAGACAAACAAGATGCTTGACACTCACAGCGCTGGTATGTGTCAAGCCTATGCTGTCTTATTCTTATGCGCTTTGCACCTGTATCATGTCAACATCACAAACAGGGTTCAATGTCATCCACACACACTCAATCGCCCCTTGTGCCACTGGGGACAGAAGCAGCAACTCGGGCCTCGCAGACAAGCAGAAGTCACCCCCAACAATGCAGGAGGTTGTCAAAGAGGATTACCTGCATCTTTCAGGCTACTGTCTGCTCAACCCTCTTTAGTAGACGTTTTGAAGGAAGTCATTTAATAATTTATGTGGGGCATCACGACGTCACTGATCACCAGAGCTGAACATAACTAGAAAGCCATCCCGACATCGGATGATCTCTCTACGTGGGATCGCATGACGTACTCTGTCATCATCGTGGATGTCATGTGGAATGACTAAATGGAATGACATTAACACCGAATGACATCATGTGGCTGCTACACAGAGATATACAACGTCAGAAGAATCAACTGACTTAGGCAATCAAATGAGTTCGGGAAACAGATTAGTTGTTACAGTGACATCGAATATACTGTACTTACTCGCGTCATGAACCCACTTGTATAATGAACCCTGCCCGATACATGGTCTTTGAAAAAATAATAAATAAAATCGCGCTCTTTGGGGCAGAGGGCCTTCTATTGAATGCAGAAGAAATCTTCAGCTTATAGCGTTCTGCGACCTAAGCGGCACGCGCAGAAAGCACGAAAATTGTGCCACGTATCTGCGAGCTTAGCTGGAAGGGGTTGACAAAATAAGATAGTGTTACACATGTAATACACTTGTTTCTTGTTTTGGTGACACTTTCGATGTTTTGGCCTGCGATCAATTCAGACAATTTTTTCCGATCTCGTGAAGAGCAGCCTATAGCAGCATTATTATTTTCGAGCAATTGGAGCAGCCCTTCGCCATACCGGGAATGGCAAAAAGCTAGAGGGGACACTTTTCATAAAAGATGTCACAGGATCCTTGCCAAGTAACTCACTGTAGAAAAAAAAAGACAAAAGGTATGTGAAAACAAACATACCTGAAATGGGAAGAGTCCCGGCTCATATGTCCTTCCTCTCCACACTTGAAGCAGCCTGCAAAAGAAAAAAAAAAAGGCACAACCGACATCAAGAAAGCCCATTAAATTATTAAACACTCCTATTAGAAGAGGAAAGCTTGACAGTTTAGTCAAGAAGACATATGCATAACTCTGTGCCACCCCCCTTCCGCCACCCGTTTTTACGCTGACAAAAAATTTCCCTAGAAAACTGAGGGGCACACAGCTATCAAGCTCTTCGTGAAATGGTTGGTCAACAAAAGTGACATGCACAGTGCAGCTCTAAGGAACACCCTGGAAAGCTATACCGTGAATGCCCGTCTAGTGCACAACTCTCACTGTTACCCGACCTAATTAGAGGAAGTTCAGTTGCTCTGAAAAGCGGCAACCCATAAGAAAATCACTAGTAGAAGGAAAGTAGAAGGAAAAAAAAAAAAAACAGGCTTGTAACTTCTCGCGAGAGCATCTTCAATGTAGACGGAGAGTGCTTTTCCTGCATAGAGACAGAGCCTATATTGCATACTTTGGTGAAGCTCTCATACAGTAACTCTAGGTTCTCCTAGGACGACTCAATGCGAGTGCCCTCTCTGGGTGAGGAGAGCCGCGTCCTCTGCTAGCGCAACCACCATTTCCTTGCATTTGCCGGTTGCAGGGTGCGCCCGTAGACTCCCCAATTGGAGGTTTCTCAAGGATGCAACGCAGCATCACAAGCAAAAAATTTCTTGGAATAACCGTTTCTAAAAACAGTATGTTAATAACTGCTGCGGTTTCACGTCCCACAACCATCATATGGTTATGACAGGCACTGTAGCTCTCCTTTTTGCACGTACACTGACAAGACAGATCAAACAGGCCTCTAGCATTTTGCCTTCATCGAAACGCGACCGCTATTCAGCAAAATACTATTACAATGTAAAAATTCACCTCGATTCGCACTTACAAGTAGTTCATCAGGTAACATCCATAGAGGCAACCACTTAGGCAAAGAGGAAAAGTGGCGAGTTGGTGCAAGTCAGCCGAGGCGAAGTGTAGTACATGGAAACACACAATCGGCACTTCCTCAGGCAGCGCTTGTGGGTCAGCCCCTTGTAGCACAGGCGAGCACCTCAGGTGAGTACCTGAGAGGGCTGCTTCCTGACATGGCCACGTTAGTTAAAATTGCATTAAGGGTTCCAGTCACGTCGTGCACATCGAGAAGATTACGCTGAGTTCGCCGAGTTGAAATGTATTTGTGGTCGATGATGGCAAAAGCAAGACTAAATATTATTGGTACTCCACTTTTGCGCCGACACAAGGAGCTCAGCGGCAAGATTAACTTAGATAGTATTGCTAACGAATTTATCGGCAAATCGTCTGTGGGCAGAAATGCATTTGTAACGAATCAGTAACTTGCATATAGGACACCTTCCCTCGAGAGCATTTGTATAGGATGTATGTATGTGTCCGTTCATGTATTTCAAGCAATGGATCGATATACAACATATAGAAGAGAAAAAAAAATGTTAGGAAAATGTTAGGAGCATTTCTTTTGTTTTTGTGTGTGTTACAGTAAACTCTCGCTATAGCAAACCTCAGATTAACGATTTTTTTTTTTTTTTTTCAAAAATCCCCTCCAAATGTCCATTGGTTATTGTAGCGATGTCTTACTACAACGAATTTCAGAATACAGAATATTTTTTTCTAGAATAACATATAGAATTTTATTCCCCCAATATCTCTACGACACGTCAAAATAACAAATATCAATTTAAAAAACTTTTCACGGCTGTAAAAATGATGCCCTGCTCCGTACCTGTCACTATCATTATGACAGAATGCCCGCCAATTTCCTTAAGTGTTTGTACTGATCAAATGTGTAATAGCCTTATCCGCATTGGCGTCGCCTGGCATCTGTTTTTCACGTGCGGCTTTGCTCCGCTGCTTTGTTTTCGTATGGTACCTTAACCCGCGCGCTTGTTAAAGGGCTGTTTTCTATCTAGTTGGTCCATTTGGTTGATGGTTGAAAGTTCAAGATGAGCTCCAGAAACAGCACGAAAGGAATGCTACGAGGGTGCAAACTGCACAGCCAGTGCCCTGTCGGAAGAAGTCGCCGATGATTACCTTTGCGTGCTTCAATAAGGCTCGAACACTACGCACAATGCAACGACAAAGCATGCACGCGAGCGTAGCCGACGACCGATACGATCCATACTATTTGTCGTGATAAGGAAACGGACACGAGTACAAAGACCACGTTGAAACAACATGCGCAAACACGAGTACAAAGACCACGTTGAAACAACATGCGCAAACCAACGCTAAGAATTGGCATTTAATGCTGATGCTTTGCAGTGTCTAAAAAGCATGCCCACGCTTAAGGTACGAGGCCAAGTGAAAAAAGCGATATTTTTCTCAAAATGTCATTTTCCCGCTTTTGGTTATCATGCTGAATGCCCAATTTATTGCCCGTAATTTTGCCGCATAAAGTTTCCACCTACGCAGTTTCTTTTGAAAGAAACAAGCAAAAATGTTAAAAACCCCTCATCTACGAAGCCGAAACTGAAAGTGCTAGTTTTGTGTTTATCATTAGATTTACTTGATATGTAGTATTTTGTTAGCTATTTAGCAATCACATTGAGTGCGAGCATATCACAATGCCCTAAAAGCATTCGTAAGACATCAGTTTCAATTATAAAAGTCATAAACTTCATACTAGCAGAAGGCGTAAAGTGGTACATCTGTTGTCCATGATGAAGGACACTTATGCGACCCGTTGACTGCCTAATTTGCTTCATTTGACGATTAGTGTCATTTCAATTATTGCAACGAAATCACAATTGATACTTTCAAGTAAATTAGGATCCATCCTGGCTCCTACACTGAAAAAGCGTGCCTCACAAACGATTAGCACTGTAGCGTGAGGCAGCCCCATCATGTCACCAATGCTGCAAAAAAAGCTCGATAAGAAATTTTAGAGTTGCCGCTAGAGAAAATGCACCAAGTATTAAGGTCCACGATGCAACTGGCAACAAGTATTGAGAATTTAAGCCCTTTTCAGTAACTTGTTTTACCACTGCACCTGTTTCAAATCTTTTTTTGTCGATTTTTCTTAAACTTATATTTCGCGTATTTTTTCCTACACGAACTGTCGTGGATGTTTTGCTACATTAAGATTTTTTATTGAAACTCGGCAGACTTCCTAATCTAATATTTAGGTATGCAATGAACCTCTATCAGTAAAATCTATCCACAAGTTCTATAATGGCTGCCTGTTACATAATATTGCATACATTTTTGGTTATTTATACACTGGGTTGTTACTATTACACAAATATATCTCAATTGTTTTGGTTCATTGCACAGACGAAAGCTTTTTACATGTGCTAGCAAAAAATGAAAACACTTCAACAAGCAGAACTTGAGATAGGAATTTTCACACAAGGCATACTATTAATTAAATATTTATTTCTTAAAAATAACAAATTATTGATTGCATTGTAAAGCTAACATGTGCCTAGAAAGATAGATTTCATATAACAAATTAATTATTTCTAGTGATGAGTGCTTTTTACAAAATCTTTTCGTCACCTGGCCTCATACTTAAAGAGTTCGTTTTTCAGCAGTCGAGCTGCCAAATCAGGATAGATCGCGCTCTTTCTTAAATAAACCTGCACTGGTTCCATTTACGGTTCTTGCAAAAATATTTATAGCTTTCACTAGAATGATTTTTCAAAATAACATAAGATTTTTAGCATCCCCTTGAGATTCGTTATATCCCGACTTCCCTGTATATACTTTAGGCAGTGCTGAAAAAACTCCCCTCAGGCACTGCCAATGCTGATTGCGAACATCCACGAGTCTTAAGCAATGATAGCTCACGACTATTACCAACATACCTCTTCTTTGCTCAAAGTCGAAACGGTTCTTCTTTGCTCACAGTCGAATCGGTGCTTCTTTGCTCAGAGTCGCAACGGTTCTTCTTTGCTCAAAGTCGAATCGGTTTTTGTTCATTCTCTATGGTGGACTCCACAGTTGGCCATCTGCAATAAAAAGCCCGGTCAAAACTGAACATAATGGGGTCCACATGGAATACGATTCATAGAATATACAAGTGCGAATGCAATGCCTCAGCGTGTACACAGAAAGCATCATCGACAACATAGATCTGTGCCAACACGGAATGCAGCAGAGTCGACGTCACACGGTAGCTGTCACAGAACGAGCGCTCGAAATGGACGCGCCGCCAAATTCTTGCGATAACGCGCCGGAGTGACGCCGCGAGGTCAACGAAAAAAAAAAAAAAAAAAACAAACATCTAAAGGCTCTCCGGGCGCGCGACGCTCTCCCCTCGGAAGCGTGGCTTCGCCGATGAACCTCCTCACCTCACAACGGCGGCCGAGCAAGCACTGGAAATTTCTAGAAGGAAAGGGGCGTGTTATGCCGGGTTGAGTCATCTGTCGGGGACGGCCCTCGTACAGTCTCGCGCCTTCCCCCAGCTTCCGCTGCGCATCGCGCCGACGAAATGATGAGAACTTTCTGGAATGTCGCGCGGAAGGTATTTAACCGAGCAGCGGAGATGAGAGATCAGGAAAAGACGGAAGTTAGCGCCAGAGCGCGTAGGGATTCCGCCGTGTAGTCGGCGAAGGTTTTGTACGTAGAGACAAAGCAGGAGAAGGAGATGATTTCCACCTGAGGGGTGACGAATCGAGCTACAGGCAAGAGTGTGTGTTTACCGCTATCGAGCGAAGATGCGTGGCAACAGCTGCGTGTGTGAAGCCGACGTGTTTCCAGCGAAGAAGTTTGAAGCTTGGAGAGAGGCCAATTGAAGACGCGAGGTTTCCTGGAAGAGAAACTTCGGCGAGGTTTCCTGGAAGAGAAACTTCAGGGGCAGCGGAACGACAACAACGCTGGACTTTGAGTGAGTGATCCTCGGAAGAGTATCATCCAGACTTTTGTTCCAAGAACTTTGGACTGAATAGGTTTTCTATCTCTTTAGTCTTTAAGTGTCTTGGTTGTTCAATGCATGCGACTGCATTGTAGTGCGTATTGTTGTCTGTG